GGAAAACCTCGAAGTTTCAAAACTCTTCTCTTGCTCTCCCTTTTGGGATGAGCATCCTTGGAGCACCCCCAGAATTAAAAACGATCAGATATCAGAGTTGCTATGCAGGAAAGGTCCAGCAGCTCCTGCCCTGAGTTTCTGGCTGCATTCACTGCAGAGACAAGCAGGTAAAAAGGTGAAGGTGCCTTACCTGGCTCTTGTGGAGGAGGATTCTCAGCTGCAGAGCTGCCTGGAGCAGTCTGTGGGGTGGAACTGGGCTGGTTGTGTCTCCTGGCAGTCAGAAAGAAATTTTATTTCCTTTATTCACGTTCCCAGCGCTCTGCCCAGGAATGGTCTTTGCACAGCGCTGTGCCCAAATCTCCCTCTCTCCCCTCACTCACACGCAGGTGGCTCCCAGTGCCCAATGAATTAAATGCTCTGAGACTTCTCAGGGATTTAACCCCTTCCAACACGTCTGAAACCACTTGGTTTGATGTCTAGACTGGAAATTAGGAAATTAGCCCTGTGTAACCGGGCTGCCTTTAAGAGGACAAGGTGATTTCCTGGCTTCTCAGCATTTGGAGAATTCCCTTTATTCCAGTAATTAATTCTTAGGAAAGTTCTCTTTTTCCATGAGGTGCTTTACCATTTTCCCTCAAGATGTTTTTCAAGACTTCTGGAATGCAGGTGTCTCATTTTCACACCCAATTTCAGTATTGTCATTATTTCAGTATTGTAATTATTTCAGTATTGCAATTATATTCTTAATAAAAAAACCACTTCAAAATTACATGCACATGACTTGAAAGGTATAAAGATATTTTTTGCCTTGTTTTTCTGTATAAGAAGACAGATTCCAAACAAACTAAATCTCAGATATTTTACCTTAAATTATTTTCAGTTACAGAGCACATGCAAGTTTCAGAGGTTTTTTCCTCAAGAGGTTTTTCAAGACTTCTGGAATGCAGGTGTCTCATTTTCACACTCAGTTTCAGTATTGTAATTATTTCAGTATTGCAATTATATTCTAAATGAAAAAAACACTTCAAAATTCCATGTACCTAACTAGAAAGGCATAAAGGTTTTTTTTTTTTTTGCCTTGTTTTGCTGTATAGGAAGACAGATTCCAAACAATCCAAATCTCAGATATTTTACCTTAAATTATTTTCAGTTAACAGAGCTCATGCAAGTTTCAGCTGTTTCATTAAATGTACTGCTTTTAAAAATGAAAAGGAGATAATTCCTGTTTTCAAGGGGCTGGGGACAGGGACAGGGGACAGGGACAAGGTGCAGCTTTTTGACAATAATAGAAAATGTACAAATAATGTCATCTTCAAAGCACCATGTACCCAGAACGAAGAGGTACTGACAGGCATCTGAAAGAGAGAATTATCCCCATTTTACAGATGAAAGGGAGTCACACAGAGAATCAAAGTCAGCATTAGATTAATAGACATTGATGCCAGAGGAGCTATTATGTCTTGTCTGGCATCTGGCAGAACAGAGCAGAGAATTTCACACAGATTGCTCCATTAAATCCCTAATCTCTGTTTGGGCTGAGGAAAGACCTCCAGAGCTGCCACAAAGACACTGCACCATCTTCAAGTGAGTTACTTGTGGGGCACCACTGGAACTTCACATCCTATCCCAGTAGGAGTTTATTTAATTTCCTGCTGCCTCAGCTAATTTTCTTTGAATTATATTTTTAAGAGCCTCCCCCCTCCATATCACCTGAAATCTCCTTTGCATTTGTGCTCCCTCAGGGTGATTATTGAGTTATTTTCATGTGGGAGATGAGGGCTAAAAGGATGTTGGAGTGGGAGAAGTTTAATCTTGATTTAATCTTGATAAAAGAATTATTTTTTTTCCAGTGAGAATAATCAATCACTGGAAGAGACACCCCAGGGACATGATAAGGTCCAGCTCACTGGAAGGTTATAATATTTCCCAGGCTGGGCAGGGTGATGGATAATCTTATCCAGGACCCCTTTCCCACTGAGCTTGGCTCACATGACATTTTGGTGTCCTTTCCAACCTGGGCTGTTCCATGACTGTGTAAAATAGGAAAACTGGTGAAAATGTGTGTTTAAAAGTTGTGTTGGATCAGGTCCTGGGCCCCAAACCCAGCACCAGCCAGAGGGAATGTTCCCAGTTTTCCTGCTGAGAATGGTTTGGATCTTCCCAAATGACACAGCCTATTCTGAACTGTCACTTCCATGGCATTTTCCTCTACATCTGTGCTTGATGTGTGATTATCCTGCAGTTCATCAGGCAGGTTTATTAGGAGTCTTAATTGGATTGCATTAGCTGGCATTTAAGGCATCCAAGCCGTTTGAGAATGCAATCAATTAAAACATCCAAGCACATTAATGCTGTGGACACAGGGCAATTTCTGTAGATGGCTAATTAATTACCTGCTTACTTCAGGAAGCTGATCAAGAATGGCCAAATGATGCACGAGAAGAAAAGAAACAACATTGCAGAAAATCCTCTTGGCAAGGCTGCAAAAATTAGCACAAGGCAAGGTATAATTGTTCCCATTGTTCAAATCTGCAGTGGGAGAACAAACCCTACACCGTGACAGGCACTCAGAGGTGTTCCCAATAATTTCAGATTTGAAATTTGTGACTTGCAGAGAACAGATGGAGCACATTACCAGTGCTGGAATGTCTTCTAACAGCACATCTGAGCTTTCCAAGCAATCAAGAAGCTCTCTGAGGTGGTCATTTCAAGTAGGGAAATGCTAATCCCTGTCAGTTTTCCATTTCATCCACTACTGATCTGGATCTGAGCCTGGGGCTCTGTGGGGACTCCAGGTCCCTCACTCTGGGTTACCCCAAGGAGGTTTCTGGTGTGGCAGCACCCACCTGGAGATGAGAGCACAAATGAGGGGGATAACAAAATGCAAACCAGGGTGGAATGGAATCATTAACATCCTCCTGCTCCCTCCTACAATCCCCCCCTGGCCTTACAGCTAAATTTTCTCATTTACTGATGCAGTTCAGGAATGAGGCATGCAAACTGATTATGAGCTACTGCTCTTAATTTTCTTTAGAGTCCAGCGGGAAATTCTTCTTCTTCTTTATTCTCTGCAGCTCCTGACTCTTTGGGGCTGTGTAGGGAGCATAGAAACACAGAAATGATCAGGTTGGCTGGTGACACACCTAAACCACATCTGCTCTGGCACAGAACGTGTCCCCAGCGGCTCTCAGGGACACAAGGGAGCCTTGCCAAGGTTTCCAGGAGGTTTTGGCCATACATGTTGTGCCCAAGGCAGACTTTGGAAGTGAATTAATTGGAAATTACCTGGTTGCACACGTTCGAGGTGAAGGTTCCACACCTGTATTGAGGTGTGGCACCCAGAGGGTCAGTGGCACCAGGCTGTGACTTCAGGGAGGGCCAGGACAGGAGCTGTTTTCTCACTTTTCTCAATTGCTGGTTCATTAGTGAGGCATTAAAACAGCATCACTCTGATCATGAGTGGTTTCCACTCTCTGCTGACATCTTTGGGACTGGCTCATGTTCTCCAGCCTCCCATTTGGGGTGGAAATTTGTTCCCCACCCATTCTCAAACATCCTCACTGCTGAGAACTACAACCAGCAATACCAGGAATCCCAGCAATATCAGCAATACCAGCAATACCAGCAATACCAGCAATTTCAGCAATATCAGCAGTATCAGCAATATCAGCAATATCAGCAATACCAGCAATTTCAGCAATATCAGCAACATCAGGAATATCAACTGTTTGTTTTCTGCCCTTCAGGCACCTCTGGGAGCCAAGAAACCACTGCTCCAGTGCTCAGGATTGTGTGTACACACCTGTGGGCAGGTGCAGTCTCTGAAAAAGTCATTCCTGATATGGAAAAGTCATTCCTGATATGGAAAAGTCATTCCTGAAATGCACAGCAGGAGCAGGAGGGGAAGGAATCTCCTGAATGCCCCAGCTTTGGATTCTAAACAATGACCTGCTTTTCTTGAGGTGCCACTGAGTAATGGCTGAGAGAAGCAGCAGATCCCAGCCCAGATCAGCGTGGCTGAAATCCAAGGGAAGCAGCCAAGGCTCCCAAGGCAGGCTGCAGTGCCAGAGATCATTTCATGTACCACATCCAATTTCTGGTGGCAGCAGCTCCTCGGAGCCCTGGCAAATTGGAAACTGCTGGATGCAGCAGCAGCAGCACAATGATAACAGTTTATCTTCTGCAGGGGCATGATGGTGAGCGAAATGGCTTTTAGATTAGCTGTCATTAGAGTGGAACATCTGCCCCTGCAAGCCAAGGGGACTGTCCTCACTTGGGCACAAGGAGACTCATTAAATTCCTGGGTTTGCATGGCTCTGGGCCAGAACCACACTTCCACCAGCTCTGGAGCTGGGAAGGACAATGACCTGGGCTCAAAGGCAGGAAAAAGAATTCCCTGGAGATGTGTCAGCTTCCAGAGCAGCTGCAGAAGTTGGTTCCTGTGTTTGGGTTCCCTCAGTACCTGGGAGTGCACAGCGAAGTGAAATAGGAAATATTAATGGGAGTGATGGGGTTTGAAAGGAAATGAAACCTTCTGAGATCACAAAAGCTCAAAGTTTAGCTCTGCCTGAACCCTGAGGAAAAGCTTCCAGTGGAATAGTTAATTCCAAACACTTTGCCATCATTTCTAAGCTGTTCTTTGCCTGCTGGACTGCAGAGCACTGAGGTCAGGAAACTTCCCTTGTCTAACTCTGTTTGTGATGCAAATATTCTCACATTTGATTTTCCTTTCACATGCTTTGAAGGAATGTTGAATATTTCAGAGGGCAGGCCTGGCAGGGTGCTGTTTGTGCAGGAACATTCTCAACCATGATTTCACATTTCAGCATTCATTACCTGGTGATGATGTGCAACACAGTTAGCAGAATATTTTGAAGAAATAAAATTCATGGAAAGCAAGGAAATAGTTGGTAGTGTCTGTACAGAGCTCAGAGCTGAATATACTACAGATATTTAAGCTGTAATTAATTAATGACTTCAAGCTGAATTACAAACAGGTATCCAGTTTCATCTTTTATTGGGCTGTATTTTCTTCTTGATTACATTAATCTTGATTAATATAAATATATTTGAATTCTTCACAGCTGTGTGACATTTCCAGCAGAATTCCTTGAGGATATACCCTCAGCTTGCAAATGAAGCCAAGAGTTGTTTAAGGATATAATTTCATGCTTGGAAAGAAGCTCTCCCACATCATCTTGATGCCCATTATGGGGGAAAAGCCTCATCAGTGTCGCAAGGATTAAAATGGAATTTGAAGGGTAGGAAGCTCAGTCTTACCTGTGCCCTTAGGGCAGAGAAAAGGAGCATGCAAAGAGGAAAAGGTGGAAGGTTCCAGGCTGTGCCATTGCTGTGGGCTGATCCCATGGCTGCTGAAGGAAGTTCCACCCTGGACTGGTGCCTTTGAGACAACAGCACAGCAAAAAAGAGAATGCTTCCTCTTCCCTTTCATCCTAATCAAAGCAGCAGGGCACTCCTCAGCATTGCTTTCATCTTTGTTTTCAGCAGCAGATTCTGTTTTTCTCCATGGTTGTGCTACTCCAAAAACTTTGGGACAACTCCTTTGGAGACAAAACAAAGGAGGGAGCTGCTGCTCTGGGCCCCACCTGGGTCCTTTCTGTTTCTGTTTGTGTTATTTCACTGTCCCTGGGCCAGCAGAACAGTTTATTTGGGATTTCTGCTGCCCCATCCCTGATATTGGTGCTGATCCTGACAAATCCACTGCATTCCCACCAGGGCAGATCCTTCATCCAAGAGTGGGGCAGGAGAAGGGTTTAACACACTCCTTCAAATTCCATTTTAACCCTAGTGACACTGATGAGGCTTTTCCCCCATAATGGGCATCAAGAAGCTGTGGGAGGGCTTCTTTCCAAGCATGAAATGATGCCTTTAAATAACTGTTGGCTCCATTTGCAAGCTGAAAAATAAAATTGGATCAATTTCCTTCCAGTAGAAACCAACAAAAAGAGCCTTCACAAACACCTTACAGGAGTTATTTTGACTGATCCTTTTGACTGGCCCATAAAAATAAAGCAAATTGATGGAACAGTAAGTGTTAAAGCTCATCAAATGCTAGCTTAGGAAATACATGATTATTATTCATGGGCTGCAAGTGATTGGAATGTTTTCCTTCTGTAGAACTGGAACCCCTGTGTTAGAATTTGTTGTTTAACCAGAAAAAAAGGCTTTTTTTCACAATGAGGAGTTTACATAATCCACAATAATTTTAAGGAATCCTGAATGCTGCAATTTGCTTTTTTCCTCATTGCTCTCTTGGTCAGTTTTGTTTTGCTGCCTTAAACTTTCTACTCCATGTCCAGTGTCTGTTGCATATTTATCACCAGCTTCTCATCTTTCTTATCTTCCTCATCTTTCCTTCATTCTTGCAGCCTCCCAGAAAGCAATCAGACTGGAAAATCCCCAAACAGAGCAATCAATGTATGCTGCAGCTCGATGCCTCCCTTTTCAGTCTTGCTTTCAGCTTCTGGAGCTCAGAACTTTTATCAATTTTAAGCCCATAGTCCGTGATTTTCCAGGCCTCTTCATAGCGCTGCTTCTCAAAGTTGTATTGTGCAATTTTGTGAAAAGTTTGGGTTAAAGATTCCCTGCCAGGGCACTCAGTGATGGTGCCCAGGGCCAGGGGCTCGTCCAGCTGCAGGGCTTGCATGTAGTGCTGCACTGCTGCCTCCTCCTGAGCCAGGGCCAGCAGCAGGAAGCCCTGGCAGCAGTGATCCCCAGCCTGGGTTTTTGGGCTGTTAGAGCCATGCCCTTGGATCACTTTCTCCATGTCTTTCAGAGCTTTTTCGTATTTTTTCAGGTGCATCAGGCAGGCAGCTCTGTGCCTCAGGTACCTGGGGTTGGCCCTGCTGGCCAGCACAGCCAGGCTGTGGTAGCCCAGAGCCTGCTGGTGGTTGTGGCCTTTCATCAGCACCTTCCCTTCCTGGGCTGCTGCCTGTGGGGACAGAGGAATCC